TTCAATCTGTTGAAATTTAGGTTGTACTTAAATTCAATCTAGGTAATTTGTCAAAACATAAGAATAACAACAACATAACAAAAACAGTAAGAACAAAACACATTACCTGTACTGTCAATGTGAATAAGCATCAAATTTATTCTATTGTTGTGAAACCCTATGGTTTGCTTTGGCAGGGTGGATGTGGTTTCCAAAATTTGTTCTTCAAATTGCTAATAAAAAATCACTAGTAAGACACATGTTATGTAGTACACTTCTCTTGACAGCAGAAAAGTCATTTCACTGGGAAATGTTGATGTTTATTTAATACTCAAAAGTAATCATTACTATCTCTGCGTTTTCATCATGCTTTGCCTATATCTTCACATAATGCTTATATTTAATACTCAAAAGTAATCATTACTATCTCTGCATTTCATCCATGTTTTGTTTAGATCTTGTCATAATGCTTATACATTGCATCATCATTACTTGTGCTCATGTCTGTCACCACCACTGAATTGTGAACTTCTTGAGAGCAGGATCTAGGTTTTGCTCTTATATGTGTTCCTCTCAGAGCCTAGAATAGAATTTTGTGAATGCTAGATGAATAATAAATGTTGAATGAATGAATGAATCAATGAACTATTGCACAAGAAAATTAATGACAATCCTTCATACTGCCTATGTAGAATCTGTTCAGATTGACATTTGTATAATTCTTATCTATGGATCAAGACATTAATCCAAGTCCTTCAGTATTTAATTGTCATGATTTTATTTTATTTCTCTTCATTCTAACAATTTTGTTTATCTTTATGCTCACTTCTGTGAATGGAAAATTTATTTCAATAATTTCTAAACAGAAAAAAATCATTTATGGAATAAATGGCAAGGTAGAAAAAGACAATTTAAATATTATACAATATTAAGGATCATAAAGAAAATATAACACAATTTTCTCATTTATTTATTTTAGAGGTGTGGGGTACATGTGAGAATTTGCTACATAAATGAATTGTGTGAAGGCAGGGTTTGGGCCTCTATCGAGTCCTCTCCCCCCTAGTAGTGGGCATGATAGCCAGTGGGCGGTTGGGTGCCCTTTATTCCCTCTCCCTCCACTTCCTCTCTTCTTTAGCAACGTCCAGTGTCTGTTGTTCTGCCTTTGTGTCCAAGTGCCCAATGTTTAGTGCCCACTTGTGAATGAGAACATATGGCATTCATTTTTTGTTTCCATGACAGTTTATTTAGAATAATGGAATCCAGCTGTGTCCATATTGCTGCAAAGGACATGATTTTGATCTTCCTTATGGCTATATAATGCTCCATCATATACCACATTTTCTTTATCCAGTCCATTTTCAATGGGCATCTGGGTTGGTTCCATGTTTTTGCTATTGTAAATAGTGCTGTAATAAACATATATTTGTAGGGTTTTTTGGTAGAACAATTTATATTCCTCTGTGTATATTCCCAGAACTAGGATAGCTGGGTCAAACAACAGTTCAATTTTCAGTTCTTTGACAAATCTCAATACTGCTTTCCATAAAGCCTGAACTAGCTTACATTCCCACCAAGTTGTAGAAGCATTCCCTTTTCTCTGTAAATTTGCCCATTATTATTGCTTCCTACACTCTATTGCATTTTTCTTTGTGCTAAATTACAATCTTTGGTAGTTCTTTGAGAAAGGATCTAGTGTGGTGACCTTTCTGTATGAAAGTTTATATGTCTGCAAAATACTTTTTTTCATTTTCAAATTTGAATACAAATTTGACTTGATATTTAAAAATACATTTAAGTGCTTTTGTTTTGTCTTAGCACTAGATGTTCTTGTTTCCAGAGTTACTGATGAGAGTTCTGCTCTACATACCAGATTCTTGGTTTTAGTAATTTTTTTCCCTCCCTGGTAGCTTTTGAGATTCTTTTCTTTATTTTGAGGTCCCCTAAATTTTCTATAATATTACTATATGACTCAGCATTTGGAAGCATTTTCATTCCGAAGTTGCATGTAATTTTATTTTTTAATTCTAAGAATTTTTAAGATATTATTTCCTCAACTATTGGCTCCTTTGTATCATATCTATTTCCTCCTCCACAAATTCTCAGTCATTAGATATCAGTAAATCTAGAGCTATTTTTCATGACTCTTTTCTTTTAGACTTTTTATCTTTTAGTTGTAATATTCTGGAAGAATTCCTTAGCCCTGATCTTTCTAGTTCATTAATTTGCCCCTCGGATTTTTCATTCTGCTGTTGAGTCTTCTTCTTCTTTTTTTTTTAGTCAGGGTCTCACTCTGTTGCACAGGCTGAAGTGCAGCAATACGATTATAGATCACTGCAGCCTTGACCTCTGTACTCAGGATGGGACTACAGGAGCGTGCCACTATCCCAGGCTTATTTTATTTGATTTTTTTGTAGAGATGAAGTCTCACTATATTGCCCAGGCTGGTCTTGAACTCCTAGGCTCAAGTGATTCTTCCACCTTGACTTTCCAAACTACTGGAATTACAGGCATGAGCCACTGTACCAGATTGAGACATTTCTTAAATTCTTAATGACAACAACTATGTTTTTTCATTTCTAAGATCACCTTTGATTTTGGTTAATAAAAATAAAATCTTATTCTTATTTCATGGATGTAATGCCATGTTTAATTTCTCTAAAGATATTAGTTCTAAGACCTTGCAAGTTGTACATTCTTCTTGTTCTTGTCTTTCTCAGACTTTTTGTAACCCTCGTATTTCCATTTCTAGTCATTACTGACTGTGAGCATTTCCTAGACTCTCAGTGTCTCAGCTTGAGCAGCGTGTCTGGGATCACCGGCTAAAGCAGCAGTGGGTACTCATGCTTCTTGTTGTTTTCCAAGAGGATAGAGGATGGGCAGAACTGAAGACAGCAGCAGGTCTTCAGAGCTTCTCTGGGCCCTCTCTGTCAGCTACTTGGGGACATTTCCCTGTTTCTCCAACTGACCCCACTACAACAGCTCTGCCAAAAGTTCATTGGCTCTTCCTAGCCCTCTCCTGTTTCAGGGTTCCATATTTCAAGATGTAAAGCTATCATAATGCTGTACCTGTGTCTATCCTTTTCTCTTGCCCTTCTCAACATCCACCTTTCAGTCTCTTCTCAGGAATTCTTTGAAGCTCTAGTTCCTTGAACAGTATGCTTCTTGTTTTAGGTGTGGGTAGAGATTCATGTGTTTCCTTATCTCAGTTCTATAGTTCTCTAGATTTGTTGCAGTGGAGGGAACCTGCAGCACGTACATACTTAGTCTGATATATTGAAACCAGCACTTTCAGAATCTTGCCCTTAAACCAAGTCTTCTGAGCAACATGCAGGATATACAGGAATTAGCGAAAATACTGGTACTGACTGGATATGTTGCTCTTAGATCCAGTTTCCATCTTTCCCTCATTTGATTGTATCACAAGAAGCTGCATACTCTGTCTTCAACAACCAACTTCTGGGTAAGTTCAGCCAATGGGAGGCATTGGTGGAAGACTGGAGGGGGAAGAGGAAAAAGTCAAGGGTCCCTTCTCACCCCATGATGTCTCAAATAGCATCTGCAGCTCTTCAGTGGCCATGACCCCTGTCCAGCAGCACTTATTATGGTCTTGCTCCTGCTGGTCAGCTCCAGCTCTTAGGATGTGGTAGCATCACCTTCTCCTGTTGTCCCTGCAGTACTGGGGGTGCAGGAGCTCCTGCTGCACTGGGGTGCTGCTTCATTTTCTTCATTTTTCTGTTTAGCTTCTCAGCAAAACCATCTTTCTGCAATCAGTTTCCTATATTAAATTCTTTTTGTTAAAAGGCCTAGGGTGGTTTTATTTCCTGGCTGGATCCTGACTTGCAGATAAAAATTCTGAAGAGACATGTTTAAAGATAATAATTGGTAATTCCTTTCTTTGTGGGAAAAAGTGCACTACAGTGAAGAGAGTCTCAGGTTAGTGTTCTCAATATCTAAGATATCCCAAGTTGTTTCAAGGAATGACATGAACCTTTTTAAATGTAAATTTTTGGCCATATACTTCCCCTTAGTTACAAATATGCAACAAAACAGTCGTGCAAGGAAAGCTTCAGGGGCTTATCATTTTATTAAACACAGTGTCTAGAAGTAGGAAACGTCATCCTGGCGGAGTTAAAGCTTTGACTATAACAGAAACCTTGCTAAGGCTTCTCAAGCTTTACACCTGCCTCAAGGGCAGTCATGAACTAGTTTAAAGACAATTATTTTTATTGTCTCTCTTATTTACAATTTTTTTTTCTGTTGGGAGAGTTTAGGTAAAATGACAGTATACCTTTAGAAAAGTCTTGTGTAACTCTATTTCTTATTTGGAAATAAAGAATGCTATTGCCTTCTAAGCCTAATACATCCTTACCGCTCCACAAATGCTTAATAAATAGCACAGAAATAACAAGAAAACCCACAACTGTGGCTCATGATCAGAGAGAAAATGAGAGCTACACTCTGCCACTGATATGCCATATGGCTGCAATTCCAAAGGCTCTGAAAGACGCCGCACTTGTATAAAGCCCTGAATACCTGCTTTTATTTCCAGTTCGAGCGTTTGAGCTATAATATATGGGCCATCTATTTATTAAAGGAGAGAGCTTACTTTGGCATGGGATAAATTGGGGCTTGTAGCAAGATGCTGTTTAATACAAAGGATGTTTCTTGAATTCCTTTCAGATCTGAGATCCACAGCTTAAGAGGGCTTGGTATGTGTGTATTTTAGAATTGCATGGCTATTATACAATTCCTTTTCTTCAGCTGGCATGAGAAGGATATTCCCATCCTCTCCATGCTCTGTTCTCTACTTCCTCAAAGCTGAGGCGGCAAAAAACACTGCCAGCCTTATCCAGCTTTTCATGGAAAGCTGCCACTCTTAACCGGCGCCTAAATGCAATTTCAGACTGTCCCAGGAGACCTTCATGCTTTGAGGTGAATTCATAACATTAGGACCAACAAAGAAGTTAACACAAACTTTCACTGTTAAAGAAAAGGAAAAAATAGGTCTGCAGGCTTACTGAAGGAGTTCTGCTTCTGTGAGTGCCTCTGTTTTCCGCTCTCCAGTGACAATGGCCAGTTCATCCTTCAGTTCCTGGATTTCCTTCTGTAGGCGTATAATCACCTACACATGACAAAGGATAGTGAATGTCAATTTTCCAGTAAGGTGAACTCAGTGGCAGAGAATATACAGCTTCTAAATTTATAGACACAAAGTATATAATAGACACAAAGTTGTTTTATAGGCACAAAAATGTGTAATAATATAAAAAATACTCCGGTATCTACCAGCCAGCTTTGGTAAATCTTAATATTTTGTCAAAGTACTTCTAGAGCTTGTCTTTTTTTTTTTTTTTAACAAATAAAACATTACTGATGTAACTGGAACCCTCTATTTCTATTCCCCTTCCGTTCTTCCTGGGGTGATCACTATACTATATTTAAGAGATCTCATTTCCCTGAATGTTTTCATACGTATCGATGTACCCATAAATAATGTATGGTATCATTTTGAATGCCTTAAACTTTATGTAAATGTTAGATTACTGCATGTAATTGTAACTTATTTTTTTCTCTTCACATTGTGTTTTTGAGCTTATTTATATTGCTTCATGTGGCTCTAGTTCATTAATTTTCATGGATATGTGTTATTTCAGTAAAGGATATAGCACAATTTGTTAATAATCTACTGTTGATGAAAATTTAGGATTTTTACTTTTGCTGTTACAGTATTGTTGTGAACAATACAACTCTCTTTAAACACACATATGAGAGTTTCTCTATAGTGTGTAACTAGAACTAGAAGTTCTGGTTAGTGAGTATGTGCACCTTGCCTTATTATATATCATTAAATCGCTCTCCAGAGTAAATTGTACAGATTTACATACCCATCAACTATAGATATAAGTTTCTGTTTTCTTACATTTTTGTTACCATGTAATATTGACAGGTACTTTAATTTTGTCAATCTGGTAGGTGTAAAACACCTCATTTTAGTTCTAATTTGCATTTTTGTGATTATGTGTAAGGTTGGTCATCTTTGCATATGTGTATTGGGATTGTGGGTTTGATAACTGCCTCTTATAATTATTTATTTGCATTCTTGCCCATGTTTCAACTGCTTGTTTCCCTTTACCTTATTGATTTGCATACTTCTTTATATATTCTAGATATGAATCCTTTGTTGGTTTTATGCAGTGCATCTGTTTCCTCCCAATCTATGTCATGTTTTTGTTTAATGAAAGTTTGAATTTCATTATAATTTAATTAGCAACTTCTTCCTTTATGGTTTGTACTTTTGTGTCTTTTAAAATAAAATTTATTTACCCCAGATCATAGAAATATAGTCCTATATGATCTTTTAAAAGTGTTAAAGTTTTGATTATCACATTTAGGTGAATTTTATGTTCTATAAGGTATAAAATAGAGATAAAAATTTATTTATTTTTAAGAGGCTACCCATACAAAATTTGCCATTATAATTATTTGTTTATACATTTAAGAGTGTCTTTTCTGGGCTATTGGTTAAAAACATATGTCTATTTTACTATATGTATGGCAATAACACACTAATTTAATTACTATATCTTAAGACATTTTGGCATCAAGATAAGACAAGCCCCTTTCATCTTGTTCTGTTTCTTTTTTTTCTTTTTCTTTTCTTTTTTTGAGTTGGAGTCTCACTCCTTCTCCCAGACTGGAGTGCAGTGGCACGCATGCTCATGGCCACCCCAGTGTCAACCTTTTGGGCTCCAGTGATCCTTCACCTCAGCCTTCCGAATAGCCAGAACTACAGATGCGTGCTACTATGCCCAGCTATTTTTTTCTTTTCTTTTTTTTTTTTATTGTAGAGACGAAGTCTCACCAAGTTGCCCAGACTGGTCTCGAACATGCGGGCTCAGGCAATCCACTTGCCTTGGCCTCCCAAAGTGCTGGGATTATAGGCTGAAACACCAAGCCCGGCCATCTTGTTCTGTTTCAAAATAGACTTGGTTATTCTTGGTCATTTGCTCTTTTATATAAATTTAAGACCCAGCTTGTCAAATTCTACCCAAGACTCTCCTCAAATTTTAACTGGAATGACATTTAATTAAAAGGTTAATTTGGTAAGACCTACCAATTAATAATATTAAATTCTCTCATCCACAAACATGGTATAACTTTCCACTGATTCCTTTCAATAAAAATTTATAATTTTTCTATAAATATCTCATATGTCTCTAATTATATTTTCTATACAATTTTGAAAGTTTTGTTGATATTGCAAATAGAATTTCTGTAAAATTATATTTCATAATTGTTGACTTCTGGTATATAGAGAGGCAATTCATTTTTATGTATGGATTATGTACTAAATAATTTCTGAACTTTTTGGGGTTCTACTTATCATCAAATACTCTTGGATGTTCTATATAAACAATACAATTGTCTGCAAATAATGACAGATATTTTTCTTTTTTTCTAATTCTCACACATTTTATTTCTTTTTATTGTCTCATTTTCCTAGCTAAGACATCCAAGTATAATTCTTAAGACATTCTTGCCTTAGTCTAACATTTCACCTTTAAAATGTTTACTATAATTTTTGGTTGATTCCCTTATTCAGTTTAAAGATGTTCCCCTATATTCATAGTTTGATGAATCTTTTCAAAGTATAGACAAATGTTTAATGTATTCAAATACTTTTTTTTGCAATAAGTGATATAATTATGCAATTTTTCTCTTTTAATCTGTGAATGTGATGAATCATATTAATTCATGTTATTAGGTTTTTAATATGAACTATTTCATATACAAAATAGTATAAAATAATACATTGTTCTCACTATTTATCTTAAGTGAACACCCATGTACCCACTACTTAAAAAAAAAGTTACAGAACCTTTTGAAACCCTCACCCATATAGCCTTCCTTACATAAATTCATGATTACTGTTATCCTAAATTTGGTTTAAATTTTTTCATTTTTTTCTTTTACTATACATTGATGTAGTTTATAGTGATAGAGTATCTTTAAATTCCTGAAATAAACCAGGTCATGGTACCACATAACATATCAATAATCTTATAATCATAATGCAAAATTTCTAAAACAAAAATTAGCAGACTGAATCTTTCATGGATAACTGGTATTACTCAAAACTTTAGGAAAAAAACAAAACAAAATACAATTTCTGGTCCTCCCTCCCTCCCTCCCTCCCTCCCTCCCTCCTTTCTTTCTCTTTCTTTCTTTCTTTCTTTCTTTCTTTCTTTCTTTCTTTCTTTCTTTCTTTCTTTCTTTCTTTCTTTCTTCTTTCCTTCCTTTCTTTCCTTTTAGTAGCTTTACTCATTACCTAACTTCTTTGCTTCTCATGTGAGATGGAGCCTAAGTTTCAGATTTTCAGAGAGACTACTTTTTGTTCTACCTAGAATCCAGTCTAACGCCGACATTGTCCTAAGATCTCCCTGTGCTAATGAATAGATTTTTTTTTTTCTGATTCATGTTTTCACTCATTTTATGTTGGGGAGAGGAGAGGATGTCTTAAGTTCAACACCCACCTTGCAAAGTCCCAGGGCTCTGACTTCTATCCCCTTGTTAAAATCCCCTTAACACTTCCACTCCAGGACAACTGCAGCCTCAGCTTTGTTTCTGGGGCCTGGAGAATTCCCACACTTCCTTTCTGCCTCAGATAACTATTTCAATGTTGCTTGTGAAATTTTATATAGCTGAGTTTCAGGTTATCAGGACCATATCAACAGAACCAGACATCCCAAAGAACATGATACTGAGTATTTTGGACATGTCAGTGCTCCTAACTTTTTATTCAAATGCACAGGATTATGTGGGCTTTGTTTGCTCCTTTTTCAAAAACACTCTCAGGATCATCAAGCTACACAGAATGAAAATCCTGAGATAAGAACTGCAAGAGTCATTCATTTGTACCCCTCACAGATAAATTTATACTGATGTCATATTTTCTACTTTTACTAAGGCTTTTAAAGTCAAATCTAATATCAAATTATTTTCTGTCTTACTGAATAGAACTTTCAAAACTAAGTCAAATTTTATGGTTTTGACATTACGACAGTTACACCTCCTATCAAATTACTGTAGGAACTCTGGAATTAGGAACATCCTTAGAAGATGTTGGCCCATGCTGTTACCATAGACTGGTCTTGTTCACAGTTCTTTTATCACCTTGTCTCTCTGAGGTACTGATAGTTACAAAAAAGAGCAAGGCACATCCTTGGTGATCCTGACCACACAGGCCGGCTCCATATTTGCCATTGCATTTTGAGAGTAAGATATAGGAAATCCCACCCAAGTTTTGTCTTGAGTGGTTTGTGGAACAAATTCTCAATAGCCACATGTGCTTCAGACAAGCTCTGTGCTCTGTACATAAAACAACCAACAGTAATGTCAGGTTTTAGAAGCAATTATAAAAGAGAGCAGAAAACAACACTTGTCAATTACCAGATTCGCCTGCACCAGGAAGACCTCAACAATTTGTTCAATTATCAGCTATTAGCTTTTGACTCCTGATTTCTCTTTTCTTTAAACTTCTCACAGACCTACATCAAACACATGATAAAGTTTGCCTTCCTTCAAATTCTTCACATTCCTTCAAAGGAAATTCTCTCTAGCCAAATTCAAAGAAAAAAACCCTTCCAATGTCTAATATGTTTATTTTCCTTAAATCATGAGCTAATTTTTGTCTTTAGGCTAATAACTGTCAACTGTCTTTCTCATTCAACACAGTAAGGCTATGGGGCTGCAGGAAGGGTAGGGAGAACAGCAAGTTCACCCTAGGAGTTCAATTCCACTTGAAGCATGCCTCTGTGTTCTGTCTCCTTTTACCAGCTGGAGCACTGAGTGATGCTGGTATCTGACCAGGATCTACATGGGAAATAGATTCTGACTCATTCATGGGTTTCTCCAGAAGAGAATGCTATAGGGGAGCTTGGTGCTCCCTGAGACCAGCAGGATAAAAGAGATAGTCCAGTTATTTCTTTGTCCTCCTTTTCTTCTGTCCTTCAATGGAATGACTTTGGAAGACAGAGGGCAAACAATCAGGAGGAAGTAATTAATATTGGTGATAGTTAATTTGAGAATTTTTTGGGGGGCAGGTAAATTTGTAAATGGAGCATTGCTGGTAATATTTTACATCTTTTTTTTAAAATAATGCATACTACTAAGCCTATACCAGCTTATTTTCTACAGAAATATGAAAAGCGGAGTGATTTGAAAAATAATATAATCTTAATTATGGAATTTGATACAATTTGAAATATATATATATATATATATATATATATATA